CCGTGTGTTGATTCTGCGGGCAGAGAGAACAAGAACCTGACAGGAACAGCTCGTTATGCCAGCATCAACACACATCTTGGCATTGGTATGTCACACGTTGCTCTTGTGAAATCAATCGCCCACATCGCCTATGTGCTCCTTGATAATCGTGAGACCGATTCTACTTATTCTCAACCCCCCCATTGCAGAGCAAAGCCGAAGGGACGATTTGGAGTCGCTTGGATATGTCCTCATGTATTTTCTGCGAGGAAGGTATGTTAAACACGAGGGTTGTGAGATAGCTGATTTAATGCCGTGTTCAATGCCTGCAAGCAGGGAGATGGTTCTTGACTTTTTTGTTATGGTTGACCTGACCATTCGTTTTCTCTGTCATCCGTCCTTGCCTCTCTGGTTCCAGCCTTCCATGGCAGGGTCTGAAGGCTGGGACAAAGAAGCAGAAGTACGAGAAGATTAGCGAGAAGAAGATGTCCACTCCCATCGAGGTACTCTCAAAACATTATTTTCTGTTTTCTGAGGATCGTGCTCTGCCGAGTGCATTTGCTCATGCTTCTTCTCTTTTTTTCCCCTCTGTAACCCCTATTTACCAGGTCCTCTGTAAGGGCTATCCCACTGAGCTTGCCTCATACTTCCACTACTGCCGCTCCCTTCGCTTTGACGACAAGCCAGATTATGCCTACCTCAAGCGTCTTTTTCGTGATCTGTTCATTCGAGAAGGTACTAATTTTTTAGCATTCCCGCCTGCAGTTTTGCTGTTTTTCTTTTGTCGTGGTTACGTTGCTTACTTGCATGGATCGTCAGCCCAAAGTCTTACATGGTGTAAGTGGCTGGCAGGTTTCCAGTTTGACTACGTGTTTGACTGGACTATTCTCAAGTATCAGCAATCCCAGGCATCGGTGGCTCCCCAGCGCCTCCTTGTACGTCTGCATGGTTCCCGCCTTCCCTTGTCAGCATGTATGTCATGAGGCATTGCAGCTGAAATGCTGCTAGTGCTGTGACGATGGCGCCATTCCCTTGTTCCCCACTGACGCCTCGCTTTGTGTCTTTCTGCTGGGTGATTCCAGGCAAACGCAGCAGTGGCACCCGCTCCTGTGGCTGCAAATCAAGCAGCCAATGCTGGCATGGGTAAGAGTTGAACATGTAGACTATGTTTCGTATGGCCAGGTGTGCATTCCTTCACTCTGGCCACATGGTCTGGTCCCTTCTCTTTCTCACCACACGAATCCCTCTCCACTCGTCTGCCATGCCGCATTTCTGTCAGATGACATGGCGCGGCGTCGATCACCGCTGATCGAGAGCCCAAGGCACAGGAGCCCACTGCGTGATGATGATGTGAGGCCTGCCAACCATCCCCTGTTTTTTTCCCTCACTCGTTCTCTTGCTCCTTCTTTCCGTCATCTGTGACCCTACTCGCTAGTGGCTGTGTGGTTTGCCCACTGTAAGAACAAGCTGAAGCATGCCCCATGTGTTCTCTGGTCTTGTTACTATGCGGTGTTTTTCTCTGCTCTCTGCGGTGCTGGCACTGTGCAGGGCGTTGATGCTGACCGTCAGATGCATCAGGGTGGCTACACGCGCACAGGCAGTGGTTCCGCTGCCAGGAGAGCAGCGGCGGCAGCATCTGGGGGTGGGGTGGGCATGGGGGTCCCAGGAACCAGGGCTGGAGGGGCAGCTGAGCAGGTGGAAGGGAAACGGTCAGGAGGGCTTGGCATTTCGAACGCTCTTTCTGGCATCCGTTCAGGGGCACGGGTAGGTTTCTGTCTTTTCATGTCGGCTATCTTTCCTTCTTGGACAGTCTTTTCGCCTGTCTCCTTCCCTCCCCGTTTCGCTATGTATTTCCTCTCAAACTTTGTATGAACAGCTCACTATTGTTTTTTGTTTTCGTTTCCCTGTCTTATGATGCTCATGGCAATTTGTTATCACTATTCCTTACACAGGGGCGTGACATGTTTGCTGGAGGTCGTCTAGGAGGCACCTCTCGTGGACCCAAGGAGTAGTCATGTAGCAGCCATGGACACAAACAGGTTGCCCGATGGTTGCGTTTACATCGGTGGTGGAATGAGTTTGAAGTGCAGGAGCAAGAAGTGTCTGGAACAAGGAGGCGCAGTACTGATGAGAAGCTCGTTGAAGTGGGACGATGGCAGATGTTGCAGAGGATGATTTTGTGGATCCGGAGCAAGGGTTGGAATCATCATACCAAGCTTGAGCGTTGACATGACGTTCAGCCGGGCCTGGGTGCAGAGTTGGTATAACCGGGGACTGTTACATGGCTAATTGCATGCGTTAGACTAGAAACAGCTACGTCACTTGAAACTGACCAACAGCCCAGCATTAGCTTGCAGCGACAGCGCGTTGAACAAGTGCGCCCTTGGGCTGATACAGGAATGTCAGTGTGGTCCACATCATGGCAGTGCAACTTAGGTTGACCCAAAATCATCAGTGTATGTCCATTTTTGTAATGCAATATGGAAGCATTTCACACAGGTTCCCGCCTTATTGCAGAAGCGTCACGTTGGCGTTTCGCCTTTCCCACGCCTCGCCCGAACCCCTCCAATTCAAACTTCCAACAGCCGCTACTGCCACCCCCATTCAGCTTGTGTTGGTCTTCATAGTTTTGGTGTTCACACCTCCACGATTGTTAGTTAGTGTGATGACTATGACACGGGATGTCGAGACTGCCATGTCAAGCCAGGACTACCCTCGGTTAAGTCAGCTGTCACCAGATCAGCTTGAAAGGATCGAGAGAAATAGGTTAGAAGCAATTAAGAGGCGAGAAGCAGCCATCAGACGAAACGCGCTCGAGCGCGTGCCTGCAGTAGCTGCCAACCTGCGAGCTTCCATGAATGCCGACACGCCGTTTAAAAAGAGGAGAATCGAAAATGTAATTTCGCCGGAGAATCTTCCTCCACCATACACCCCTGCTGTTCCTCAGTCCGACCAAGTCAACGAGCCTAAGCACCAAGATTCAATAAAGCTTTCAGACGTTAAGCTCTCTGGAGAGCAAATGAAGGCATTGAGTGCAGTCTCTATGCGCAAGTCTGTCTTTGTGACAGGCTGTGCAGGGACTGGTAAAAGCTTTGTGCTCGAGTTCGCCATCCGTTCACTGAGGTAGGGATACAGCTGTCCAAAATAGACCATGTAGTCCCCTCAGAAGAAGATTAAAACTGCTATTTCTGCACTTTCAGGGCTATGCATGGGAGCGATGCCGTTTACGTGACAGCTTCGACAGGCCTTGCTGCCTGCGCTCTTTCAGGAACGACGCTCCATTCGTTTGCTGGAGTTGGTCTGGGAAATGGTTCTAAAGAAGACTTGGTGCATAAGGTGCAGACTCGGAGGGAAGCGAGGCAGAGGTGGCAAGGTGCAAGAGCACTTGTCATTGACGAAATCAGCATGATCGATGCCCAGTTTTTTGTGAGTTCACCTTTGCAACGTTGACAACTAGTGTCCTTTGTCTATATTGCTCGCACTAATTCTCCCCTATCTGATGCTGGCAACCAGGATAACCTTGAATTCATCGCAAGAAAAATCCGCAAGTCGTCCAAGCCTTTTGGAGGCATTCAGCTTCTTGTAACTGGCGATTTTTTCCAACTCCCTCCAGTGAATCCTCAGAGCAACGTCGCTTACGCTTTTGAGGCGAAGTGCTGGAATGATTGCTTTAATCTGCAGATGGAACTGAAGCACGTGTTCAGGCAGTCAGACCTCTCGTTTGTGAGCATGTTGAACGAAATTAGGGAAGGCATTGTCACACCTGCAACTCAGGCGAGATTGAGGAAGCGTATTCTCTGTGCTCCAATTGGAAATGATGGCATCATGCTGACAAAGCTATACCCGTACAAGGTGAGCACAATGAATTTGGCAAGTGATTATGCCTGCTTGTTGGATGTTTTCATTCTTTGCCAAGCATCTGACACTGTATCATGTTTCAGGCAGATGTAGCTGGAGAGAACTTTCAGCGGCTCCGGGAGCTTCAAGAGATGGAAATGATGTACAATGCCAAGGATGAGGGGAAAAGCGAATATGCCAAGAAGCAGCTTGAATTTACGAGAGCAGAAAAGCGACTGACACTGCGCCGTGGTGCACAAGTCATGCTTATCAAGGTACCAACACTGCCAAGTTTGTCCACTTTTTTTCATCCAGACATGCATTTTTTGATGACATGTGTGCGTTCAAACCTTGCAGAACCTAGACACACCCCAAGGCCTTGTGAATGGTGCCAGAGGTGTTGTGGTTGGCTTTTGCGACCCTGCTCACCCCTCTGCTGCACAGTTTAGGCATCTGGCTCCCATCATCAACCCCTCAGGGATGTGGCCCGTGGTTCGCTTTGCATGTGACCAGTCTGAGCGAATCATTGGTCCTGAAAGCTGGGCTGTGGAGGAATATGGTGCTGAAATTGCCAAGCGCTGGCAAGTTCCGTTGACTCTAGCATGGGCCCTCAGTGTGCATAAGTGCCAGGGAATGACACTGGACAGGGTGGAAACCGACCTGAAGAGGGCGTTCGACTATGGGATGGTCTATGTCGCTCTCTCTCGAGTCCGGTCGCTTGAAGGTCTTCGACTTCTGGGATTTGATGCTGGCAAAGTCAAGGTATGTCTACTTTCTGATTTATTTGTCCACTATTGTAAAATAGTTGTGCACGTTGGGCTGACTTTCTGATATTCCTTGCAGGTGAACTTGAAGGTTGTAGAGTTCTACAAGCTATTGCAGAGACACGATGCTCCTGACAAAACTGTCATTGAAGTTTGAAAGCAGATATGAGGCCTGCAGGAGTCTTACCTTGCGCATGTGAATCTATTACGGTAATTAACGAATGTAATCTGACATCATATTTAATCATATAAACAAACAGTACTCTTCCCAACCCATCACAGCAACCTCAGCATTACCGACCAACCAGACTTCTTGAAGGATCAGCAAATGTTGGAAAACTGTTACTCCCCGACCCGTTAGGAAGCTCAGTGACTTTGCCCTGTACAGTTCCCTCTTCAGCTGTTTTTGAGGTAAGCTGTTCATTCACTTTCCCTCCAGCACGTGATGACAGCAACAGCATATGCTCCTCTTGCTCCACCACTTGTTGCTGCTCGCGGCCTCCAGACAAGAATAAGCCGCCACAGGTAACAGACGCCACAGGCGATTCCACATCAATACCACACTCATTGTTGTCATGATACCTTGAAGCACTGCACTCATTGGATTGGAAGACTGGTGAGAAGTTGCTGTGGATGCCACATGCTTCATCGCTGCTGCTGCCATAAACCCCAACCTTCTCATGAAACTCTGAGCTGCTACTGTCTGCAAGACCCTGACTGTGTTTGTAATCCTGGCTCCTTCCGTATGTGTAACCATAGCTGCCTGATGAACCCTGCTCATCAAGGCTCTTCCAGTACTGCACTGCAACATCCAGAGTCATCCCCATTGTCTCACCCTCCCCCTGCTGCTGGGCATGAACGACCTCCTGCATAATAAAAAAGGACCAGCCACACAGAGCCATGTCGCTCATTAGAACATGACAAAAAGGGCCGGCGCCAGGAGGAATGGGAGCAGGAAGAATGGGGCCAGGTGATGATTGTGCAAGAGCAGCGTACCGTAGGGGTCCAGGTTCTGACGAGTGGCGCGAGCACCGTGACCACGTCTGTCATGGAGGGCCGCTGGCGTGGGTCAGCAGCCACACAGTGCAGCGCCAGATCTGCCACCGTGCACAGCGAGGCAAACGCCTGACTGGCCTGATCCGCCATGCCTGCTGCTATGGCAGGGTCCACCACCTGGAAGGAGGGGTGGGGAACGTAGAGATGCAGGTCAGACCATTGATAGGTGAAGATCTCAATGCATATGGTGCTATGCAGATGCAGGCGCGGTTGAATCATCGCTGTTGCCTAAGACGACGTCAAGAACAACCTCCCTCTTTTCTCACACGATCCAATCCCCCCTCCAATTCCTATGACCCTCTGGCTCCCTTCCCACCTTCCCTTCTCTTCCCCCCCCCCCCAGTCCTCCTCCCAGCTTCCTTCCACATCACCACCCACCTGGGCAAGCTTGGAGCGGTCGGGGATGATGGGGAGGAGGAACGTGGCTAGATGCGCTGACAGATCGGGCCGGGATGTGTCCACTGCTCGCCGCCCAGTGAACAGTTCCATGAGGATAACGCCAAAGCTGTACACGTCCGAGCGTGTTGTCACTCGGCCCATGGCTGGCGGGCAGACGGGATGAGAGTGGGGAGAGAGAAAATTGGGGCACAGGCTATGGTTGAGGAGGGAAGTTGATGGATGGGATGAGATGAGATGGGGATGGCGTGGGATGGGGTTGGATGGGATTTGGAGGAGTGCAGGATGGAGTAGAATGATGTGACAAGAAGCACCTTCGCACTCTGGCTTTCCCTCAGCCACAAGCCCAATCTACCTTGCTGCCTGACCCACACACATCCACTCTGCCCATCTCACTTGACCCTCTTTCCCACCCACCCATCCCACTCGCACCTGCGTATTCGGGCGCCAGATACCCAAACGTGCCAGCCAATCGCGTCTCAACCGACGGAGCAATCTCCGAATCCAACCCTCTGCCACAACCCCCCTCCCTCCCCGAACCTCCCCCGGGCGGCAGCACCGGTCGCAGCAATAGCTTCGCCAGGCCAAAATCGGCCACCTTGGCGCGGCGCCGGCCGTCCAGAAGCACGTTGGCGGGCTTTAAGTCGCGGTGCACGATGGAGTCTCGCCCGCCCGCCAGGCTGTGAAGGTACTCCACGCCCCTCGCCACGTCCACCGCCACCACCAGCCGCTCCGTCCACGTCAGCGGGCGGTGGCCGTGGCGGGTGGGGTCAAAGAGGTGCTGACTCAGTGGGCCCTGATGGCGGGAGGATGGTGTGGAGACAATAGCGGCTTCCAATTCCGTGTACTCAAACACTCAAACACCAGCAAGCGCTCGTGCTGGCCCATGACATGACCCAATTGCCCCAATCCCTCGCTTCTCAGCACAGCCTTCAACCTCACCAGGTGCATGCATCCCGAACCACACTCCCCCGACTCACCAGCTCCATGAACTCAAACACGAGCAGGCGCTCGTGATGGTCCATAACATGCCCCAGCAGTGCCACCAGGTTGCGATGACGCACCTTGCACAGCACTGCCACCTCCGCCTGGCGGGGTGTGGGAAGGGACGGAGGGGTGAAGAGGGATGGGTGGGTGAGCAGCCACAGAAGGAGCGATGGAGGAGAGCTCACTGATTCAAGTCAGGAAGATGGGACGAACCTTGCACAGCAAAACCACCTCTGCCTTGAGGGGTGGTGGGGTGCCTGGAAGGGGACGGGAGGGTGCACCATACAAGGGGAGAGAGGGGCAAGGGAGAGATTTATGGACTTGAGTCAGTGACATTGCCATACCTTGCACATCACCGCCCCTCGGCCTCATGGAATAGGGGAAGGAAAAGACGCGTGGGAGGTAAGTACAAAGTGTCCTGTGGGCTGTTTTAGAATAGAATATTGGAGGAGTCACCCCAGTAAACAAAAACTCACTCACCAAGAACTCTCGAGTGCCTGCTTCAGTAACGGGTCCAGCCTCCATTCTCTTCACAGCCACCGTGCTCCCATCAGGCATGTCTCCGCGGTACACCGTGCCAAACCCGCCCCTCCCCACCCCCCCCACCCCAGCACGGTACTCACCAGAAACTCGCGTGTCCCTGCTTCAGTGACGGGTCCAGCCTCCATCCTCTTGACCGCCACTGTGCTCCCATCAGGCATGTCCCCGCGGTACACCGTGCCAAACCCGCCCCTCCCCACCACGTGGCCGGGGGAGAACCCCGCTGTTGCCTCACGAATCACCTCAATGTTCATTGTCAGCCCCCCTCCCAGTGCCAACCTCGCACTCGCTATCACTGCTCCTGCCCCCTCCCCTGCTCCACCTGCTCCTGCTGCTGCTCCTCCTCCTCCTTCTCCTACTGCTCCTGCTGCTCCTGCACCGGCTGTTGGGAGTCCAGGTGCTGCTGAAGGGTCCACAGAGGAGGCGGCGGGGTGGGGGTGCGTTTGGGGAGGCTTCTTGCCCTTGCCTGGCCGGACGCAGCACCACCACCCCACAGCCAGCCCCGCCACCAGCGCCACCACTGCTGCCGCCACCACCACCCCTGCCACCACTCCTGTCCCTGCGCCCGTCCCACTACCGGTCCCCCCAGGCGCCTCTGTTGCGGATGGGGAGGGGGCGGAAGGGGGGGCCGGGACTCCAGGGGAAGGGGAGGATGGGGGGGATTCGGACGGGGGTGTCGGGCTAGTTGGAGGAGCGGGGGAGGAGGATGGTGCAGGGGAGGGGGAGGAGGGTGGTGCTGGGGAGGGGGACGAGGGTGGTGCTGGGGGGAAGGATGGGCCAGGGGAGGGGGAAGAGGGTGGGGAGGAGGAAGGAGGGGCAGGGGAGGGGGCGGATGGTGGGGAGGGGGTGGAGGAGGGAGCTGGTGTTGGCGTCGGTCCTAAACTGTTACCGGTGGTAACCAGCTCGACTTGGGAGGAGAATGAAGGCAAGGGGCCGGACAGGCGGTTGTTGCTGACGTCAAGCAGGGTGAGCTGGCTTAAGGACGTGAGGGAATCCGGAATGGGGCCGCTTAGGTTGTTGTTCTTGAGAACTATGGCCGCCAATGACGTCAGGTTCGCCAATGATGGCGCCACCGAGCCTGTCAAGTCCAGGTTCGGCAGCACCAGGCCTACGACTGAGGCTTGGCTCCCTGGAGAGCAGGTAACGCCGAGCCAGTTAGGAGACCCACATGGGAGAGCTCCTACCCAAGAAGTCGACAGAGCCAAAGGGTAATTTACCCCTTGCAGAAACCCGAGCAGGGCATTCACATCAGCTGGGCAACTTCCCCCTGGCTGGCTGCTGCAAAATCCGTTTTCTCGGTACGAGCTGGCAGGGAATTTACCCATGAAAATTGGAAGAGGTCCCAGCAGCGCGTTTCTGTACACTGTGAACGTTTCAAGAGCCAGCAGGTTCCCAACAGACCCGGGTATCGTCCCTGTGAGTCGATTCTGGTGCAGCTGCAATTGTCTCAGCTGCAACCCTCCACCTCCGCTGCCCAATGTACTAGGAATGCTACCAGTCAAGTTGTTGACGTGAAGCGATAGGTTCAGCAGCTGAGGCGCTAAGGCAATCTCTGGGGGAATCTCCCCGCCTAGGTTATTGTTATTCAGGCCAAGAATCGCCAGGGACTGTAGAGATGTGAAGAGGAACGGAGGTACGGGACCTTCCAGCAGGTTCTGGCCGAGGCTGAGGTACGTCAGGCTCGTCAAGCTGCCGAGGCTGTCAGGTATGGATCCAACCAGCTGGCAGTTGGTGAGCAGAAGCGCCTGTAGGCTCGTTAACTGGCCGAGCTGGCTCGGAATGGACGAGCCTGTGAAGCTGTTGCGGCTGAGGACAATAGCAGTAGGTTGATACAGTGATCCTAACGTTGTGGGTAAAGAGCCAGTTAACCCAACCCCGGTCAGGTCTAATCTCACTACATATTGAAACTTCCCCGTGGTGGCCTGTCCATTTTTATTTTTATTTCCGTTGATGGTGTTGCTGCCGTTGCTGTTACCACTGCTTCTCCCAGGGCCTGATCCAACGGCTGTTGTAGGACTTGATCCAACGGCTGCGGCGCACTTCACACCGAACCAGCCAGTGGCGCACGGGTCCGTTCCGGACTTCCAGTCGCTCAGCTTCGCCTGATTGGTCGGCTCCTGCAGGAAGCCCTGTAGCGCCGCGATATCCGAGGTGAGAGTCGCGGCAAATGCGGCGGGAGGCGCGGAATAGAGAGCGTGGATGAGTACTAACGAGAGGAGGAGGAGATAGCAGTGGTTGTGGTGATGGTTGTGGTGCCTGTGGGCGTGGCGATAGTAATAAGGGTATCGGATGGTTATTCGCATGCTGACGAGTACAGGCGTTTGTGCGAGCGTCGCAAGGGTGCTTCTGCGAGAGCCTGCGATTCCGCTGAAGACCGTCATCATTTTGTCGCAAACTGGTTGGAGTACGATGCGCGACAGTATTTCGACAAGCAAGCAGCAGCTATCAAGAATTTTCTTGGCAGCGGTCTGTGCTCAAGTGGCCTCAGCAGGACTCGAGCCGCACGGCATGGACAATGTCTAAGCCGCACAGGATTTCTAGCTTACGACGCGCATGAATGGTGTCCTGAACCTGGAACTTAAAGGTACTGCTATTGAATAATGCCGAACCCGCCTGAGTCTCGTTATGCGTGCACTGAAACGAGGACTGCTTGACGACACGGAACATGCTACTGAGTAAAACGCGCAAGTATCAGACAGTTGATCAGTCGATGTCACAAAAGATTTTCGAAACGTCCTCTTGGGGTGGGGGGATGCGGAGTGGACGCCTAAGTTATACCGTTCTAGAAGATAGTGATTCCATTAGCTGAACTACATGAGTAAGTCACATGAGCTAATGGGTGGTTCAAGCTGGGCTAGATGATCCACGTCTCGCACTCAGAAAGGAGGGATGGACAAACTGAGTGAAACAGGACCTTTGGGGTCAGAAGAACCTACTGGATACTAGACAGGGCAGGACAGGGACGCGAAGGCAGAAACACTACAGGATTCAGGATCTTCGAAAATGGTGACAACACAAGTCCAGCCAAGCAGATGGATGGGAATGGCGGTGTGAGGGGCGAACTGGCTGGCTCTGTGTGTGTGCGTGTGAATTCCACAGTTGGGCAGACGGGGGCATTCCCAAGGCTGGAAATGGAATGGGAGGCAAGGTGGAGGGCGAGTCAGAGTCGAGATCGGGGAGGGGGGAGGCAGGCGGCATGAGCTTCATCCAATCCAAGCACGCGGAGTTCCCGAGGAACCGAATGCGGGGTGAAATTGGCAGACTCGTCCGACGGCTGGCGACGCGGAAATTTCGCAAGGAGGCAGCCGCGTTTGGACTGTGGTTTCAGCGAAACATGTGCACGTGGTTATGGGTTGCGAAGCAGCGTTTGTTTATTCGGATTGGCTCGCGAGGTGAACAAGACCATGCTTGCAATCCCTTTTGCCGTCGTCAGCATACATGGAACCACCAACGCAGCTTCAGCTGCGAAACTCCACAACTGCTGGTGGTAACGCGATGGACATGGGTGCGGGAGTGGCCACGTTCCACCACGGCTTCGTCGTGGCTTCAAGCTTACGACTCCGCTTTAGGCTATTGCTCTGACTCAACGGGTGATTTTTTTTTATTTTTTATTCTGGGTTGCGAAGCAACCCTTTACAATCGATTTGGCCAAAATTTATTTTCATCAAATTTTTTAATAAAAGATGAAAATAATTGTTTGAAGCTACAATTACATTTTCTTATACTAAATGCTTTTTGAGCAGTTTTGATTACCGTTTGCAGTTTTTTAAACCATACAACTTTTCTTTTGTAGGTTAGTGTAAGCTAGCAGTACTGTTCACTGTATGTTTTGTATGTTGCACGGTATAGCGATAATTACGTGACTCTCATGAAATGCATATAATACATGTTATGAACTTCACATACATGCTTAAATGAATATTACGATGCAAGTTATAAAAATGCATTATGCATGAATGATAATGTTTTAGTATGCATAATGTTTGATGTATGTAGCATGTTGAACTAAAATGCACACATAAGTACATGATGTAAATGCGTGACTGTTAACGATCCAAAAACTAAGCTACCGCCATCCCCTGCCTAGCATGGGGGGGAGGTCAATAGCTTAGCATTTGAATAATCAACTGTCACATGAAACAATACAATCTGTAAATTCTAAAACAATGGTCAACCCTATCAAATCCAGTTCGAAGTGGTCGCACACGAGTCACTGAGTGCGCCAATGAACCTTTTGTGAAATGATAGTTCTGAGCCACCTTTTTAAAAGTCACAGACATGCATTGTTATTGCAATGGATATATGGATGAATGCACATAACCACTGCACACACACACGAGGTCACACACACACACACACACACACAAACACATATACAAGATGACACACATTCACACAAGCACAAAAAAACTCAATGCACAAACTGTAAAAAACAATAAAACATGCAAACATCAATACAATACATTCCTACAGATCACCACTACTATCCACTTCACAAGTTATCTTGGCAGATGTACACATCTGGAACGAAAGTCAGAAGAAATCTGGAAACACATGTAGGCGACGAATGAAGGAGAGGGAAAAGAGGAAGAGGGGAGAGAAGAAAATAATTATCAAAGTGTGGAGAAAATGGAAAAGAAAGCAAGGCAAATGAGGAACAACGATAACAAACGAAAAATGATGAACAACGATATACATTAAAAAACAGAACCAAAAAAACAAAGCAAGTAACAAAACAGCGAGAGAGCGAGAGAGAGAGAGAGAGAGAGAGAGAGAGAGAGAGAGAGAGAGAGAGAGAACGAGAGAGAGAGAACGAGACAAAGAGAACGAGAGAGAACGAACGAGAGAGAGAGAGAACGAGAGAGTGAGAGAAAAAAGGCTTACAGAACAGCAGGCGTTCAAGGAAGGAGAAAGAACGAAGAACGAAAAGAACATGTTTATCCAATTATACAGAATAGTAGCAGAAAACCTAAGAAACAAATTACAATCTCGAACAAAAGGAGCAGATGAAAGCAGGAGATGAGAGTAGGGATTAAGGAAGAGTAGATGAAAGGCAATAGCAATAGCTTGAATGAATCAAAGGGTAGAAACAATGCAGCTACGAACAGAAGGAAGAAGGGAGAGAGGAAATTGAATATGGAAGGGTAGAGAAAATGGATAAGAAAGTAAGGTTGATAAGAAAAACAGAAGAAAACAGAAGCCTAAAGAAAAACAGTAAACCATAACAGAAGAAGCCTAATTGAAACCCTAAATACGACATAAATGAGTAGAATGATAGCACGACTAAAACAAGGTGAAAAGCAAAGCAGGGAAGGAGCGAAAAGAGAGAATGTGAAGTCAGATGATACACGATTGCATGAAGATTGATGATTACATGAACCTCATGCACACTTATGTAATATTAACATCATGCATACCTCAATACTTTCATGCAAGTATTCAAGCTTAGGTTATCTTAATGTCAGATTCTTAAACGTAGGTAAACAACAAAGTAAGCCCAGATTAGGAGAGAAGTCAGAAGCACGATCGAATATAAGCAAGGAAGAAGATGAGAAAATACCAAAGAAGGATAGAGCAACAAGAAAGAGATGAAAAGCAAGAGGAATGTTACTAAATAAGAAAATGATTGAATGGACAGAGGAAATAGAGAAAATTACCGAGAAACAAGAGATAAGATAGAAACGAATATGGGAATAGAAGGAAAGAGAGGGGAAAACAGCAACGAGAGAGCCTACAAATAGCGAACGCGATTCATGGAAAGGTACCATAAGAACGCGCGATAGGGAATGAAAAAGGGATGAAAGCTTTAGAACGACCTAGGGAATACAAGGACAAGTTCACGTCTTTAAAAAAGACCTAGATCCTAAGCTCGAACGGTCTAAGACAAAAGTAAACGAAAAGGATAGTAGTAAACGGACACTACGAAGAGGTAAGTCGAGACTTCTCACCTTGCACTAGTAGATGGAGCGTGAGTAGGGGGCGGATGTGAGGAACCAGGCTCCACACATGTGAGGGAGGGAAGAAAGGAAAAAAGAAACGTACAAACCCTAACAAACTGGACATTTCGTCGCACCGGAATAGGTTTAGTACATATCCACGTGTTTCAGCAGCCGTTTTAGCCCAGTCGTTTGAACTTGAACTTAGAGTCGAAAGGTGTTAGGTTCGATATTTGAGGGGAACGTTAGACAGGTTTTTTTCGAAATTGTTACATATTACATCCTACTTACAAGTACAGCCTAGTTACAAGTACAGCCTAGTTACAAGTACAGCCTAGTTTCATACTACACCCTATTCTCGATAATTGCACACCCCCTACCCCCTATTTCGAAGGTACCCTGTACGTTTTCTGGCTTGATGTGACGGACACCCAAAGATTGACGAAGGTAGTTATCGAGTCTCGCACTTAATTTTCCGAGTGAGTAGTAGGGGTGGATGGCTGCCCTTGGAACTCTGGTTTCTTTTCTTCCATTCGCGAGAAGGTTGCGAGACTCCCTCCTCCGAAAGTCTACAATCGTTGCTTTCTACCCAACTTTAACGTTTAACCGAGAGTAATTACCCCAGGGTATGCGCTTAAGGGGTGTGAAATTATCGAGAATAGGGTGTACATGAAGTTGTACATAAATAATGTAGTGCAAGTGCTTCGCAACCCTAAGACGATTTAGTCGCCTCTTGTTTTTTTTTTTTTTTTGGTAGGTGAAAGTGCATTATACAACGTACAACGCAAAAACACCGTCGGTCGTAACCGGAGCTAGAGGGCCTAGGTACAATCATACCGTACCCTCGCGGATACTTTACGGGGGTTTGTAAACCAATCGCCTGAAAAACTCATCCTGCCCGTTTGGGAGGGCTCTGACAGTGTTGCTGGCCTGCTTGATGCGTGCCTGGATCGCTTCAAAACCGTTTTGACGAAAGTTGGTTGCTTTGGCCGTTGCATAATTTTGAAAGCGGTGAAGAGCGGTTTTGGTTACAATCTTGGCTGGGTGAAACTGAACCCTCTGGTCTGGTGATGCAGTAGCTTTCCGTAGCTTCCTCTGACGATAATGGCGAGTGAAAAACGCTGAACCCGTTCTGACGCACCGCAGCTTTCCTCTTAACTCCATTATCAC